CACCATTTTCATGAAAATCGAAGATGTGTATGATAATTTAGAGTTATTTTCATTTTGCTTGATTTTTCAATGGCGTCCATTTTTAGTTTATGCAAATTAGAGTGAAATTATGCAGATAGAGCTTGTGTCCGTTTATCAAAATTCTTAGTTTTGTTCAAGGTACATGTGTGCCAAGTGGCATGTTCCTACTAAAATTTGCAGTGGGGGTGGAGTTAGGGAGCCCACTATAACCACTTTCCCCATTTTTTCCCCTAGTTCCATCAGGGAATACAAAAAAGGGCATTTAAAAAATCGTTTTATCAGACTTCATATAATTGTATAACGTTAAACAACTTTAATAAGTTACATTTCCCTTCGAAAACTTTTAGAAGAGGATGCAACAGAGAGCTTTGACCTATAATGAGCAGATAGTAGGCCTACTTGGTGATAACAATGATGATGATGATAATGATGATGGACTATGAGGATGATGATGATAACTGAGATGAGGATGACGATGATGATGATAATGAATGATGATGACGAAGATTAAATATGATGGCGATGGAACATCTACACCCCCCCCCACACACACACATCTTTTTTGTGCCAGTCTTGCAGGACTAGTATAAACTTACCACTTCGTGTGGCCAATTTCACTGTATCAATGCTCTACCAGGATCATGGAAAAGCCCACCCCAGTCATTTGTCAGCTTTTTCTTATTCAAAGAAAACTCCTACGCGCTGAGATTGAGGAACAAAGCTGTGAACACGATAAAATCAGGTCAAAAACGTGTTGAGATCGAGGTCACTGAGTTTTTTGTGATACTTTCTCTTACATACCAATTATGCGTTGCTATGGTATTGATTTACTGCTGCCTTAGCCAAGTTCCTGATAAAGCCTTAATTTGGGTAAAACGTTGAACATTGTTTGAAATACACTTAATATGCCTGATTTCGAGTCTCCATAACATATGTTTGCACCACTAAATTATACTGTAAAGTGATGATGATGACAGTGGAGGTGAAAATGATGATGGTGATGAAGATGATGATGATGATGATGATGATGATGATCATGATCATGATGATGATCATGATAAACAGACGGAAATGGTGCTGCCTTGGAAAAAACTCAGTCTGTTGCACAGACTTTTTATGATGATGATGAGAACATCAGTGACAATGATGCTGCCTAGGAAATGAGCTCTGCCTCTTACAGTTACAGAGGCCTTTATACAAAGAAGTCATAATTCTGGCTCTATATCTAATATTTGCTTTGACCCTGCCAGCCAGAGCAAGCTCCGGCTATGCGGGATACAGCAATTAAGTAGACAGATGAAAAAAATACTAAATAATTTCCCCAAGAGGAAATCAAACATATCTTCTGTGTGTGAAGGGTAAAGAGTCTAACCCAACACTTATGAACCTTTTTATAGCTAGCATCTATTTTTGTTACCTTGAAGTGGCTAAATTTTTCATACACAAGTATCATCGACATGAATTACGGTACAATAAATGACACCAGACTCTACTTGCGTGAGCCTGACTGCTCTCCAAAATTACAAAATCGCTCAATAGTGGCCGACGTCGCCCAGGTTGCAAGCTATGGTCTGCAATTGAAACCACACATCATCAGAGGACACCAGAAAGAACTATGGGTGACTAAAAACGAATAATATTTTTGATAGATACATGCAATAGTCCAGTGGTAACTGGAAATTCTGAATCTAATGAAGTCATCAAAAGCAACAGACTGAACAGATCAATGTGTTGTTGTTGTTGTTGTTGTTGTTGTTGTTACTTGGATTTTGTATGAGTTAAACATAAAAACGCAGGGTGGCTGTCGTGGAAAATTTTCTTCTCTAAAAAAAACTGTCCCCTTTCACCGCCTTTCTTTCTCTCTAGTCATGTTCAGTCATCTTCTGCTTCTTTCACTTTCATTTCCATTTCCTGTCCCCTCCCCCCCCCCCCTACTCATTGGCTTCCTTCTAACTGCTGTCTTTCAGCTGCACCCCTGATCTTTAAGGGTAGATAAGATCTAACACCTAGCCTTCTCAGATACGGGCAAAAGATCTCAGACGTCACATTTGCAAGTTGCGTACCTTAAAGTTAAAAATCCCTTGGTGGATCTAAAATCGATGAGAAGGCTTCGGCTGCCACCTGTGCAAAATTCAAAATTAACTCCTATCAAACTGATATTGACTTCATGTGTCCTGTGCCCTCATATGACCTTATGCAGTTGCAAGCTCTGTAAAACACTTACCAACCCCCCCCCCCAAAAAAACAACTGCTGGGACCCGAGAAAAAGATCAAAAAAAACCCCCACCATATGTAGTCATCTCAAATGTGGAAAAAACACAGCATCCACTAAAAATGGTAAAGAAAAAAAGGAATACAGTAAGAAAGAGAGTTGAGAACCACGCATAACAAAATATCATATTGTATAACATAAATGTTGATGAGCAAAATTCTTCTAGATCTAGAAAGGGGCTGTACTTCAAGTGTGTGTGAAGTGATGCTATTCGCTACAATCCGTATTCACGTGAAGGGAAGGTATGGCACTTTTTTTTTCTTTTTTTTTTTGAAGGGGGAAGGAGGGGGCATTGAAAGGGAGAAAAGCCAAAGTGTTGCTTGCCATCATAATCTACAAAAGTGTCAGGTCCAACAAGACACAAAGCAAGGGGGAAGTACTTAATCACTCCATACAGATTTCTATGTTGGCCAAGTTTGTAGTTGTCGTGATCTGCCAACAGCAATTCCAAAATCCGACTACTCTATGTTCTCAAAATCTCCATCCTTCTGTATGCTTGTGAATGATGGACCTTGACGGCAGAGCTTCAGAGGAAGATCCCCAAGCAGCTGAAATGAGATGCTTTGTAGTACCGGGTGCCTATTGCGGATGGAATCGGGTCGGGTCGATCGCCTGACTCGTCGCCTGAAAAACAAATGCATTTGTTTTTAGGCGGGGAGCCAGGCGCGATCAGTTTGTGCCACAATAACCGCTTTGCGCCCTCAATCTGGCTGGCAAACAGACCAGAACCGACCTGATCCCCCAATGGGCACCGTGTACTAGACAACTCTTCGGCATCTCATACAATGACCACATCACAAATGAGGAAATGTGCAGTAGAGTGAAACAACAAATGAGCCACTATTTAGACTTGCTGTCTATTGTGAAGCGAAGAAAACTGAATTGGTACGGTCATGTAACAAGATCGTGTGGCTTATCCAAGACAATTCTTCAGGGAACTGAGCAGGGCAGGAGAAGGAGAGGAAGGCAAAGAAAGAGGAGGACCGACAACATAGCGGAGTGGGCAGAGAAATCCTTCGCCCAAACTCAGGCGCTCACAAAAAAAGGGTAAAAAGTGGGGGCACCTGACAACGCCCCCTAGATCCTCGTGGATTACGGGATCAGTAAGCAGTAAGCAAACAGCAACGATGGACATTAGACTGCTGACAGCATAAGTGTGAGCAGGCAATAGCATGAAAGAACAAATTAAGAGCACCGCTTGATGTTATGGAACTAAGCCTGTCAGGACATAAAATTAAAAGAAAATAAAGTTTGACAACTTGACTTCTTAGAGTTAGACAGATCTCCTAATTTTAAGAAGAAATTTTAAAAATCATTAACAATACACGGACTGATACAGTAGACTACCAAACAAAAAGGTTTGGAATAAAATTTCCACACATCATTGTCATTTAAATATTAAAAACAGTGACAAATAATAATAAAGTTTGCACATTTCCATGTCTAAAAACAGTTGACAAATAATAATAAAGTTTGCACATTTCCATGTCAGTCTTCAGAATCACTGCTGCTGCTGCTTTCTTGATCTAGGCCATTAGAACGTAGTATGCTCAGCCACTTTATATTTGGGTCCACCTTTCTAAGCTTTATAACAATCTTGCCTTTTTCAACCTGCCAAATACAGAAAAAGAAACCAGTTCATTTTAGTAAGGTTTTACGGCGCTCGCAACTGCATATGAGTGCCAAGGGGTGGATGTCAACAGAGAAGTCCAAATGGGGAATCAGGCTTACTCTGCTCACCTCTCTAGCCTCAACAGCACAAAGTCTGCTTCGACTATCAAGGCACCCCTGAAATAGTTCACAAGAGAGTGACAAACATACAAGGCAAAAACCTTTCTCAGTCAGATTCAAATAATATTTTGCACAGTATTTTAAGAAAAGACATTTTATAGTATAGGTATATACAGATTTTATATAAATGTACACACACACACACACACA